CTAATAATGATATATATATAAATATTTATATATTATGCATTAATATATTGGACACACACACGGGTATATAATTATACATGTATTTCTTAAAGCTGACGTCGCACAATAATAGCGGCAAATTTACGTATCGGAAAATGAAAATATTTCATCAGCAATATAAACCAACCATGCGTTTTTAAGTTTTCAATTTTTTTAATTTTAAAGTTATATACGAAAATTGATTTTTAATTTCTTTTTTTTTTTAAACTTATTTTTGCATATCCATTTTTACAATTTTTCCACTAAAATAAATATTCTTTATATGAATTAATGTTATGAAAAATATATTTACCGATCATTATGATTCCTTTTCTATTAAGATTATTTCTGAAAATAGTTTTAACCTAATTTTGACTAATTTTAAAGTTAATACGCAAAAGAAATCGCCACACAGCATGGCAAAAGCCCCGCGTCCGTCCACAAACCAATAGAATATTTTACTCAGCAGCCGAACACGCGACTAAACTTTGACGAGCTGAACAAACCGAAAATACATAACCGACAAACAACAAAACAACATACAGCAACAAAAACAAATGGCGCGTGTTGAGTAAAATTGTATTTGCATGTGTTAAAAAAGCTACCAGACTGATAAAAAAAAAAAAATAGAAAAGGGAAAAACAATATCAAGGATTTGTTTTTAAAAAATAACAACAAATCTGTTACAAGCTTTAAAAATATTAGTACATAAATATGAGATATCTTTTGGAAGATTTTTCATATTTGGTAAATAGTTACCATACCATTCTTTTTTTCACTAATCCATACACATTTGTGTTGGCAAAGAAAACTCGAAAATAATACAAAATAATTACACTCAAATATAAAAATTTTGCCAAATTCTATCCAGCATTGAGGCGGGCAGAGCACGATCAGATAATCGAGCATCAAAAAAAAAAAAAAAGATAGCTATGCAATCACTCGAATATATAACGTACAAGTGCAGTTGCAACTAGAAACAATAAATAGAAATTGCTACAACATTGGTTTCGTTAATAGTAGGATTACACCCAATATCTCAATGTTTACAACAACAAAAGTACAGACACAATTATAACAATAAGAATAATGAGAACAATTTTAGCATTTACATTAAAAACAAAAGACAAAAAAGTACTATATACGATTACTATTTCTTTGATCCTGCAATTGGAACACTGATTTTTGTGGGATTTCTAATGTTATTTTATATACACATATTTTATATATGTACATTGTGACCGAAAAGTTTCCGGTCATAAATAAATAAAACGCAAAATTCTTAATCTTCATCAATATTTATTTTATCTCCTTCAAAATATGCTCATTAAAAAGCGATACACATATGCGCAACAGTTAATCTCCAATCTCAAAACATTTTTTAATAGGCGCTTTCCGGTATGGCTTTGAGTTCCCTCTGCGAATTCTGTTTTACGTCTTCTATGGATTCAAAACGCGTTCCTCTGAGTGGTAATTTGAGGTTGGGAAACAGGAAAAAGTCACACGGTGCAAGATCAGGTGAATACGGTGGCTGTTCGATGGTATTTATTGAATGTTTGGCCTTAAAATCGTTGATAATGTTGAACAAATTGAGGTGAATCGGAACAAGCCGGGCGTTGACACGTCGCATACACAAATTGTCCACCAAAATCAAACGAGCCATCTCACGACCGATGCCTAGCTCTCGTGCTATCTCTCTAACACTCACATGAGGATTTTTGAACACGATTTCCTTTGCCTTTTCAATGTTTTCGTCGGTGGTAGAGGTCGAAGGTCGTCCAGAACGCGGCATGTCTTCGACGGTCGTACGACAGTCCTGAAAGGCTTTGTACCACTCATAAACTTGAGTTTTCGATAAAACTGATTCCCCATAAGCCTTTTGTAGCATTCGCAACGATTCTGCACACGAAATTTCGTTCGAAAAACAAAATTTGATGCAAACTCTTTGTTCAATATTTTTTTCCATTGTTTTTTTCGCAACGCACTACTGAGGTGAACTGGTTTCAACAGCTGCCGTAAACGAACTGCTCTGACAGATCGCGCTCATATTTTGGCATAGTAATTAAGGACAGTGCTTGCCAAAACTACATACTTAAAATATCGAAAAATATACAGCGCGCGAATTTTAAATGAGAACCTCCGAAAACCTTTCGGTCACAATGTATATGTCCATGTTTAAAAAAATTGCGAAAGAATTTAAGAAACACAAACAAGTAATACACAAAACATCCTTACTAAACTAAATCAATAATAAATGAACACAATTTTTTGAACTGGAATTGTTTTCTATATGATCGGATTTAATTAAAAGTTGAAGACATTAACAAATGGAAAAATTATATCACTTGTGTATGTGTATGTGTAATAGATATTAACGTAAAGTTTATTACACATTTTTGAAACATTTTTACCTTTTCTTGTAAAGTTTAATACTTTAATATACGTTATTGTAGTTAGCAATCATAGTTATGTTACAATTATGAATATTTTAAAAATTAAGCTCAAAAAAATAAAACAAAATATATTGTAAAATTAAAACAATTTAATTCCTTAAATTAAATATTATTATTAATACTATGTATTACTATTATTAATAATATGTAATATATCCATTTTAAAAAAACAGAACAATGAATTAATTTACGTAAAATATGGCTACACTTTTCTTTTAATTCATGAAAATAGTAAGACTGGGGAAAGAATATGCGCTCAACAAACAACATAAGTAAGAGCAAACCGGCAACAATTTATCAATGATAAAAAAAAAGTTGACACTAAACATACGTAGTGTATGTGTATGTTCAAAACAAAAACGCAAATACATAATTTCATATTACGAAAAAAAAAGCATACGTATGTATATACATATGTATATATCTCTTTCGTTTTTGTTTTAATCAAATTTTGAAGACGCAGGCTTACTGAAATAAATTTCAGTAACCGCATGGCAAATATGGTTGCCATTATTAGAAATTGTTATTAATAAAATTTCTAGTTAAAAACAAATTTCATTTATTTTTATTCATCATCACATATACCTCAAAATAACATCTACAACTTTAATTAATTTACTATTAAAGGTTTAATCAATAAAGGCAATATAAAATCTGTATTTAAATAGTTACTTTGATTTTCTATAAAAAAATATGTATATATAATGTACTTAAATATAAAAAAAATCTGAAATTCTATTACTATAAGCAGAACATAAACTGCGTCATTTTTAGCATAATTATTAAATAAAAAGCGTAGTGCATATTTTTTTGGATAGAGGTACGAGTGAGAAAGATATAGAAACAGAATGGAAATAATAAAGAGTAAGAATAAGAGTAAAGCTTCTGCACAATAAAATTATAATTTCCGCACAGCTGTAGTTAAGCTGTTTTTGTTGCACTACAAAATGAACACGATGTTAAAAAAAAGTTTCGTTTTAAATAAACAATTTTATAAAGTTGCTTTACGAGCGGGGGAGAGTTCCGCAACAGAGAAGCGACCGGTACAACCACGCAATTAAACATAACGTAGCAAAATATAAATATCAATACAAACATATATATTATACTCATATAAGAGAAGATATATAAAAACACAATAAGAAGTATAAGAAGGAAAAAGGTGAAAAGAGCGTAACGAAATAAGACATCGTATGAGACATTGTTGTTTTAGTTTGTTTATCATATTTTCTGACTTGGTACAAATAATGATTAAAAAGTATAAATATTCATATATATAGACGTTTTATATTTTATGGCTTACCTCTTTGAGTTTGTTATGGAATTTGAAACAAAAACAGAGGGTTGCAACTAGTTTTTAAATGCGTCATATATGTGAACACAAAAAATGCAGAAGTTGTTTTCATTAGAATATTAATTCTTTTCAATATTATTACTTTACATTACAAATTATTTATTTTTATTTGTTTTTATATAATAAAGTAAAATAAATCCCACATCCCTATCGATTTACCTGTCTATAAACATAACATAAATGATTAAGTTTCTTGTTCTACAAACTGTACAAAAGTGCAATAAACGTCATCAAGGTTAGTTGGTGGCTCTGCATTCTCAATAACAAAAAGTCGCAAGTTGTTATTAGTTTTTTGTTTTTATTTGCATAGCCTTTCGCTATTTCTTGTTCGTTTTGTTATGCTATTTAAACCGCAGCGGCAAAATTTATTGATTTATCATAATTATTTAAACAAGTAGTTTCGTTTATTTATTATATGCAATATGCATAAAATGACATTATGTTGAAATTCTTATTTCTTACTGTGCAATCCATTTTGAGATTCTGACTCATTCGAGGAAAACAATAATTTCATAAAAAATATTATTTTGGAAATCAGCTGTTCGAATGTTTTCGAATAAACATTACTTTATCTACAATTACGATGCAATTGCGTTATTTAATTTCAGATAATTTACACTGTATTTTCCCCTTCCAAATAAACTGTGTTATTCATTTCAAATTGAGTCTTATTGGAATTTCCTATAGCCAAACAAAATTCCTTCCCATTCCCTCAAAATGCCTACGTGACTTTGCAATCGTTACATATTACATATCAGGCAACTTCAAACACAGAGGTATGCATTGTTTTGAAAACTATTTAATAACATTTAAATTACCTTTAATATATTACTATACTATATTCTAACTTTTAAATAACAAAAAGTAAAATTTTCTTAGTCTTTAGCATAGAATCAAATCTATAATAAAACAATGACTAGTAAAATTATTGATATAAAAAATTATTTCGAACTTAAATATATGTACACTCTATAAAACAAAATACATATTATGCATATATTATTATAAATTATTACTCATAGTCAATAAATTATTGTATTTTTTAAAACACATTTCGTTTAGGGTTTTTTCCTCACTCAAACAACGACAATATTATTTCGTCAATTTAAATAAATTGCTTTAATTAAATATCAAGACAAATATATAACAGGCTGTGTAAATAAAGTTAAACTTACCAGATTGACTGCAGCTGTTGTCGGTATCAGTGCTGGTACCATTAGTAGTACTCTCGACTGTACGAGTATTTTCTTCTAAAATTCGTTCGACCATTGCAAGAAATTTAACTTAAAACACTTTTCAAATAAAAAAAAGGAACACACGATACTGTTGTTTGTTACAGATTTCTGATTTTAATTTGGAATCGAAGAAAAATTAGTGTTCCGATAATTTTTTTATATATTTTCATTTAAGCGTGCCTGCACCTTCGTTCTTCTGTACCCTTTTCCAACAAATTAAAAACAAACTGTATTCGCGTTCAGCTGCAATTGTTGTTGACGTATTTTCTTTTATTGCTGTCAGCGTTTCTTCTTCCTTCTCGTTATTTTACTCAGTTAATTTCTCTGCTGTTTTACTGATTCAAAATGGTGGATGCGTACATATAAAACTTAAAATTTTCTTTCCCAGAATGTATTAAAATATTTATGAATATATTAAATTTCTTTATATTGGTAAAAGAAATATTATGTCCAGCTTGGTGTTTCTATTGCATTGATTTCAAATGGATTTTAATATAAATGGATATGAGATGAGCGTAGTTTTGCAGCACAAATATTGCGCAGCATGAAAAAAAAATTAAATATTTCACAATTTCTTTAGCTTTAAATCAACAAAGCTCTTTTTGTGTTCCTCAAATTGATGTAAGCAATTTATTGGGTTTTGAAATTTTTGCTGCTAAATGGTGGAAATTTTTAATTTGCTAAAATTGCCGTCATTAACTGCTCTGCTTGGTAAAAATCTATAGTCGCTGGTATTAGGCTCTATTGTTGTTGTAGCTGTGATTTTCTTGTTGCAAATTGGATTTTACATTTAATTTTCTCATTACAAAAATTTTGTTTTTTTTTTGTAATTGTTAAATGTTTTAATGCTGTTGTAATAATTGGTAGTAGTAATTCGTCGTCGTTGTTTTTTATTTAACAAAAAAAATTCGCTGAAATAGCGGACAAAGGCCGTTTCTTTGCGTTTTTAATATTAATTTCATTAGCTACCGCTCCATTTTCCACACGCAAACTTCGATGATGAACTCCGACTAAATTCAATACGAAGATACGATTCGTTAAAACAACGAGCAGACACAAATGCAAAGTGATGCCAGATGTAAAGATATGTTTGACCATTTCGTAAATATATGTGAGATTACAATATTTATGACCCGATCAATTTTTAGTCCAAGTAGGTGCTTAAGATAGCTATTTTGATTAAATGCAGTAAACGAAACACAAATGTTTGATTGTAGGTTCAATTAAATTATTGTCGTTTATATTTCTCATGTTTTAAAACAAATTATGTTATTTGTTGATACATTTGTGTACATGTGGAGAAAAAGCACAATAACACGTTTTAAGGGCTTAATAGACATATATAGCGAACAAATATATCAACTTTGTGTACATGTGGAGAAAAAAACACAATCAGGGCTTTTAATAAAGCCCTTAGGCTTAATAAACATATGTGGCGAACGCATTAACAACTGCAACGCCATCTCGTGTGTCGAACAAACAAAAACAACAGCCAATGGCCGTAATTTTTTCTTTCAGAATAGCAAAAAAATAGTCACAACTTACGTCATTTAATTATATATATAGTAAGTGTTATTCGATATGCGAAATATTAAAATCAGTTTTGCAGTCTTTCAAGTGTTATGTTTTGGTAAATATCAAATCTTATATATATGCACATAATGTGATTTTTTCCGAATTTTCATATATATGAAATTTTTGAATTTTGTTTCAATTTTTGTTTACATATGATTGCAATATTTGTTGGAATTTTGAATGAATGTTTCCAATAGTTCGCTTAAGCATGATATAGACGATGAAACATGTTTGCAAACCAATTATGCAATCGGAGTATGCGTTTTGCTATACACTTTGAAACAAGGTTTGCATACTTCATTTTGATTTATTTTCTACAGCGTTCATATCAACAGTGGAGCAAGTACATAGTGCAAAACAATAATCGAAACTTGTAATGAACCTTACCGCCGAACCTTTCGCTCGCCGGATCCCAGAGTCATTACAAGAATATTTTTTTGTGACCCTGAATCTCCTCGTAATACAATAAGTTTGGACACTTGATAATTTTTTTATACTTATTTTTTTTATTGTATATTTTCTTTATTTTACAATATCTTATAATTTAACTTATTTACTAACAAAATTTATTATAGTTACAAATATTGAGTGTTTTTATAATTCCTGATCCGCATACCATTAATTTTTTTTTTACATGTTCTAAAGTGGCATCTAGAAAATCTTCTTTGTATTTTAGCAATAACTTATTCCAAACTTGCGATTTCAAATATTTATTTTTATACGGGTACTTTTAACTTCCCACAAGCACCGTTCGCTTTTGTATTCTTCAATTAATTCTTTATAAATATTATTATGGGGAATAGCCATATTAATATTTTATTCACACACAAAATAATTGTTTTTAACACTTTTTTTCCAATTTTACTTTTTTTATTATTTAAAAATTTTTCCCGCGTTTTTTACACATCCAATACCACCAAAATTGTTAAATAATAAATCTGTAGATTTCGATATTTCACTTTTTTTATTATTATATAATTTTTTCTCGAGTTTTTTGCACATCCGACGTTCACCAAAATTTTCAAATTATGAGAAATTTGCAAACTTCGATATATACAAGCAAATATGTTTGCACACTTAACAAATAATTGAAAATTTTTAATTTCACCGCAAACTTGTTGCAGACCGAAATTTGGTTTGCAAACTTGAATATAGAATATAAACTTGAATATAGAATATAAACTTGAATATTGAAACAAAATTTATAAGACGCAAAAAAGGTCGATATGGTAGCAACACTTTTTAAGGTTACTTGGCAAACAAGTATTACCATATACATATTTTCAATTAATTTTATTTTTTAGCATAAATAATTTTACATTCTGGAAACATTCTTAAAACAGTACTGTACTGTGCTGTATAGTACTAAGTAAAATTTATCTTGGTAAGATATTTTAAATTAAATTTTTAATTACTTTATATAAGTTAATTCTACTGACACTTAATGTCATAAATACGTAATATTAACTTAAGCAAAGGTTGCAGCAGTCGCCAACGGAATTCAAATTATTCTAAATAGTATGCAGGTGCTACCATAATCATTGCCCTTACCTGTTGCAAGTGCAACGTGCATTACAGACGATTATATTTATATATGAGCAACAATTCCTGTTGATACTGAATTTTCTATTACTAATTTAGACTATAGGAATCGATGCAAGATTTTGTTCAGTGCAGTTACTAATCGAGGTTGGAATAAACAGTTCGGAGTATTCCGAAAAACCAAATATCGAGCATAACTCATTCA